ATGCTAAGGAGAAACAAACGTGGTCTGTGGAATCAGGTAGGTAAAACCTTCCGATTAAATAGTCACTTCTACTTATTTGGAAAGCCTCCCTCAAACTTATTTTCATCATCTGTAAAATGGGCATAAATGTTACCTTGTTAGGTTGACATGAGAATTAAATGAGATTATCTATGCTCAGGATGCAAGGAATGGAAATCTCCTTTTTCAAATTACATTAGAAGAGCTCCAGCATTTGGTGGGAATCTGCTATTACCCTGGGAGGAGGGGAGCCCCACCCTGTTTCTACATCATCCTAAGACTGTCCCAGGCTTACACAGTTATGAGCAATGAGATTTAAACAGACCTAAGAGAAAAATAAATACGATACTATAGTATGTCAGATAGTGAAAATGATAAGAAAAAGCAGGAAAGATGGATAGGAAGTTGGGAGGATTATGGGAGAAGTGGTGGTAAACTGTATCTTCAAATTATGATGTGTTCTATGTAAGATAAGCTTAGATAGGTCACTATCAGTCAATTTTTTTATTCCTTAAAGGGAATAAAGATATTTGAACTATTTGAATTCAAAATCAATTGAATTCAAATATTTGAAGAGTGAATATTAAAACACAGATTAATTGTAAACAAAATAAATCTTTATTCACCTTCTCTCCAGATGGACAGGAAATACTTACATAAAGATGATCAAGAAAATCTGCACTTTGACCTGAACCAAGTATCTTGCATGGTAGTTGGAGTGCTAAATGTGCCAGTTGGCTGAATTGTCCAGCTAAATTTATTTTTTAAAAAAGAAGAACACATCTTTGGAAACATCGTTCTCATCAAACATTAAAATACTAAAATGTTTTTTAAAAAAGAGAGAGCGAGACCTAAGAGACATATCCACCAAATGTAAAGTGTGGATTTTAGGTGGATCCTGATTTGAACCAATCAACTATAAAAATATACTCTTGAGAAAATGAGGAAAACATGAATAAGGACTGGGTATTAAAAGATGCCAAAGTGTGATAATGGTATTGTGACTGGATTAAAAAAATTCTTATCCTTTAGACATGAAGCCTAAAATGTATGGATAAATGTTATAACAGCCACAAGTTGCTTTAAAATAACCCAGTGGTGGGAGAGGAGGGGAGGGATAAAGATGGAACAAGAGCAGTCCTGAGATGCTCACTATAGCTGACTGGTAGGTACAAGGGTGCATTGTTCTCTTTGCGCTACTCTTATTCTGTGTGAAATTTTCCATGGGAGAAGGGAAAGATGGGAGAGGAGGATGGAGGGAGGGAAGCAGGAAGGAAGGAAGATCCTTGGAATAATGCCTCGTATCTCTCAGAGCAAGGGTCCAGCTCTGAGAGTGGTTTCTGCTGCCCTCCTGCAGGAGATAACATCACTGGCCAACGAGAACTTCAGAGGAGGGTGGTTTCACACACTATGCCAATTTCACCATTCTGTTGGGGCCAAAACCTACCCAAAGGGCTGCTGTATAAGAATGCAGGGTCTGAGCAGGCCCAGGCATCCATCCCTCGTGGATTTCACAACCCTGGCCTTTCTCAGTCCCAGGAAACCATGCGCCAGAAGTGGGGCCACTTTCCTTTTTAAACCTCCTGAAAGATCAAACCAGTTCTGATCTTGGGTAGCCTCGACCTGCAGCGGCTTGAAGCAGGATTTTGGTTCCCTGGACAGACCACCAGGGCCAGTGGCCAGAGACAAGGCCCTGGTCCGTCAGCTTTGTAGAAATGAATTCCCACAAAGAGGTGGAAAGTAGTGAAACAAGTAAAGTGTTTATTAGGAGGAAAAATGGTACGTGTGGATAGACACACATGCAGGCTCAGAGAAACAGTCGCACCCTCGTGGTAGTTTGAATCACTATTTATATGGGGGCATTTCTTCTGGGTTTCCTCTGGCCAATCACCTTGCTTTGCCTGGCTCTGAGTCCACATTTGGTTTATCTCAGGGTCCTCCCCTGTGTGCGTGCGCATCCCTTAGCCAAGATGGATTCTAGCGAAGAGGGCTATGGGTAGGTTGACATCACCTACTATGGGGTGGCGCCCCCTCCCTTTTGGCCACCTGAGGAGCCTTTCTGTACGTGTGTAGTCAGGAAGGTCTCCTTAACCTCGAGAATGAGAAATATGTGGTCTCTCTATCTTTTTTCTGGGCAGGGCTCAGCTCCTCTTTCACTCCTGCTATTATCTTCATCTTGGAGTATCTGTCCACAGGGGACAAACTCCAGCTGCTCAGCTTGGGGCCCATCTATCTCCTCTTGAAAAACACCAAACATTTTCATTCCACTCCTTCTGGCACAGCCTGACATCCCTTGAGAAGGAGTTTGGAGCTAAGAACAAGAGCCTGGCCGCCCCACACCCAACCCCAGGCCTCTGCCTCCTCCTGGGAAGGGGAAAGACATGGTGTGGACTCTGGGTGGGGATAATTTTTCCTGATAATTCCTGTTCCTCCCCTATTCTACTTCCCCCAACCAATACAGACAAGGAGACATCTCACTATAGACGTGCCAGGATAAAAGTTAAGTGCCCTTGGGTCCCTGTGTTATAAGTAAAGGGAAACTTTCAGGGAGACTCCAGGTGCTGAATGGGGGCTGTTCATTCCCCCTCCCAACAAGAGCTCCTCACTCAGCCACTGGCTTTTACTGCCCCCTTGTGGTGATTTGCTTCTTATAGACAATCCTGCATTACAGATTTCCCACCCACAAAGCCAAGTCGGTTGGTCCCCTGCAAACCTTGCATTGGGGCAGTCTTCATTAAAGATCAGACATTTCGCTCAGTAGTGAGAAAACTTTCTTCCAAAGAAAGTAAGTACATGAGTATCTTGCAGACAATTTCTTTGCTTCTTTTTTGGGGGGGACCATGCCCTGCAGCTTCTGGGATCTTTGTTACCTGACCAGGGATCGAACGTGGGCCCACGGCAATGAAGGCGCCGAGTCTTAACCACTGGACCGCCAGGGAATTCCCTCTTTGCTTTTTAAAAACGTTAACGGTTGAAATTTTTTTTTTTTTTTTTTTTTTTTTTGGTGGTACGCGGGCCTCTCACTGCTGTGGCCTCTCCTGCTGCGGAGCACAGGCTCCGGACACGCAGGCTCAGCGGCCATGGCTCAAGGGCCCAGCCGCTCCGCGGCATGTGGGATCCTCCCGGACCGGGGCACGAACCCGCGTCCCCTGCACCGACAGGCGGACTCTCAACCACTGCGCCACCAGAGAAGCCCAACAGTTGAAATTTTTTAAAACAAAAATTTGGGGAGAAAGAAACCTCATGAGGTGGCTATAGGGAAAGGGGATCAGGAAAATGTTCCCTGCCTCCATATGGGTGAAGGAAGCTCTGTAATTCCTGTAAAAAAATGATGCCCCTCTGGACACTGTGCTTGTTCCTGGCAGGGTCGTGGCTGGATCTAACTTAAACTGAGTCCCCCTAAAACCAAGTTTCCCTGTCAAGTTTATGATTAACCTCTCTATCCAAAACAGTATTCCCTTTCTTGTCCTGCCCCTGTTCCTCTCAGGACTGAAGAGTATCAAAGAAAAGGGGAGACTGAAACTGAGCAGGACCCAGCAGGACCCTCCCAGGTACAAAAGGCCCTCTGTGTCCCCCGTTTCTTGTTTGTAGAAAAAGGCTTTAGTCCCCTACGCCTTCCCTGAGTTCCAAAGAGCAGACTCAAACAGTTACTAATTAGGGAAGTGAGGGAATGCAGAAACAAAGGAAAAGCAGTAAAGAAACAATAGTTCAGTGATAAAGCAGAGTCCTAGCTTCTTCTCAAGGGATATACATAACAATCTGACACACACCTTTGAGCTGTTCTGTAGAAACTAAGACCCCTCCCCCAGGTGGAGGATAGTGACTACTTGCTGACCACCAGCACTAGACTCCAGACTGGTTGGAACCAGAAGGTTGATGATTAACATTCCAGAAACATCACCCTATTACCTCATCACCAACCAATCAGAAGAAAGTCATACACCCTAGAGCCCTCACCCCAAATGTTGCCTTTAAAAATCCTTCCCTGAAAGCCATTGGGGAGTTTGGGTCTTTTCAGCACAAGCTGCCCCTTCTCCCTGCTTGGTGTCCTACAAATAAATGCTGAACTTTCCTTCACTACAAGCGGGTGTTGGTGATTGTCTTTGGTGAATGTCAGGTTAAAACAGGAGGGAAGGAGGCAGGACACAACCTTTAAAAGAATGACATTACCAGAGGACATGACATAAACTGATTAGAACCAAATAGGTCCAAGATGGCGGACAAGTCAACTTCCACTAGACTTTAAGCCTCAGGATATGCTCATTGTAACACATCAGCAAGCTAAATGACACACACACAGGCAACATGACAGTTCCAAGGCCAACCATAAAGGTCAAAAAGTAGGCAGTGGGGACATCCCTGGTGGCACAGTGATTAAGAATTCGCCTGCCAATGCAGGGGACACGGGTTTGAGCCCTGGTCCGGGAAGATCCCACATGCCGTCCGTGCACCACAACTACTAAGCCTACGCTCTAGAGCCTGCGAATCACAACTACTGAAGCCCGCGTGCCTAGAGCCCGTGCTCTGCAAAGAGAGAAGCCACCGCAATGAGAAGCCCATGCACTGCAACGAAGACCCAATGCAGCCAAAAATAAATTAATTAAAAAAAAAAAAGTAGGCAATGGCCTAATTTCTGGAAATCCCCACCTCTTCCCCAAAATAACTGGAATACTCCTCCCACTCATTAGCATATGAAGTTACCCACCCTTATAAAAACTGACAACCCCATACCCTGGGGCCACTCTCACCTTCTGAGACGGCCCACACTCTGTCTGTGGAGTGTGTTTCTCTCTAAATAAATTCACTTCTTACCCATCACTTTGTCTCTCACTGAATTCTTTCTGACAAGACATCAAGAACCTGAGCTTCATTAAGTCCTGAGACCAGGTGTGTGATCTCAGTTAAAAGACCGTGGGTTCAAGTCCCAAAGTGAGTTACATGGTTTCAGTTTTAGACCCCAGGGTGAGGACACAGACAAATGATTTGATGAAACCTGTTTATGGTTTGCTGCTTTCTGTCCTGTGTGGGCTGGTTCTCAGAACACCAAAGAGCAGGACTATCCCCGACCATTCCATACGTCTTACGCCTGAGCAGATAGTGCCAGAACATTGTGAAGTATTCCAATTTACACCCAGAGGCCCTCAACTAGAAACACATCCATCTTCTTCATAACCGTAAGTTTAAGTGTCTGATAGTTGGGTTCTTTTTATTTTTATTTTATTTTATTTTTTTGTTTCAAACTAGTTTATTTAGGGGTTCCATTTTCACTCCTCAATAGATTTTATGTATTTCTCACATGCTTTTTCACTCATTAGTTCATCTAGTTCTGAAGGGTTACTGAGTGTCATCTTCATCAGCCAACCATCTTCATAACAAGATTTGTTGACAAGTCCTGGATTTTCTGCTAGAGCTTCATTAATTTCAGTTACTTCTCCTGATAGAGGAGACTAGAGTTCACTAGCAGCTTTCACACTTTCCAAAGCACCAAATTCCTCTTGTTTGTTCAATTTTGTCCCAACTTCAGGCAGACTACAGTAAACGACATCTCCCAAAGCTTCCTGTGCAAAACTGCTGATTCCCACTGTTCCAACACCGTTTTCTGTTGTTACCCATTCATGTTTGTCTGTGAATTTACGACCCGACAGCAGAACGGGACCGGTGCGCAGCGCCCGGACGGCGCCCGCCCGCAGTCCCCAGGGCCGCGGCGGGCAGGGCGCGTTGGGCACAGAGATGGCGCGCGGGCTGCAGACCGCAGACCGCGGTCCACACGCTCCGCGCCCCTCGCAGCGCCATGTTCGCAGGGGTGCAGAAGGTCTCCGCACAGCATCTAGAGCACCCCCGGCTGGAGGGGGCGGGGCCCCCAGCTGGGTTCTTTTTAAGTTGTAATGCAAGTGCCTGACTTAAGCTCTTGATTGCATCCACTCCAAAGACTGCCATGTGAACAAACATATTGCCAGCCACACAATTAGATAAAGATCTAGGCTGACCCCATTAAGTTCCTCTGTTTTAAAGATCTTTGGTTTGGCCACTTGCTTTTCTCTCCCTGAGTTTTAATTCCTGCTCTTACGTTTTACAGTCACTACTAGGCCCCCACCTTCAACCCCAATAAAAGCAGAACAAGCCCATTCTCTCTCTCTTTCTCTCTCTCTCCCCCAACGACCTTCTGTGGCCTCAGGCATGCTGTGTACCCTCCAGAACTTGTAAGTAATAAACTTGGTTTACTTGTTTCATAGTTTCTTGATGGTTATGGCTGAGGGCGTCTTGCACTCATAATAAGAACCACAAGGGCTGGTCCAGCCACATTAAGGATAGAAAGCAGAGACCTGCACAAAACAATAGCTTTGCCCAAAGGTGACTTCTCTCTAAGCTTCTGATATTCACTATGAACACTGTGTGCGTGTAAGCCGTGCTTATCCATGACTTGGAGGAAAGCTTGCCTTTCTGACTCTTGCTGCCACAGCAATCTTGGAGAGACCAAGCTAGAGAGACTGGAGTCTCAAGAGGGAGCCCAGTAAAGTGGAAACACTCAGGCTGGGCAGCTGGAGAGTCCCATATCATAACTCCATGTCCTTGGGAAACCAATTTAACCTCAGAAGGCTCTTTCATCATCTCTAAACGAGACAGGACACCAGCACCCACCTCAAGGAGTGCTGGGGTGATACACGTGAGGATGGTTGAGATCTGCTCACACCACTGCTTAGACATGCAGAGAATGTGGTCAAGTACATCTTCTACACAAGTCATGGGGGTTGGGGTGCCAAGACTATAGTTTGGCATCTCAATCTCCTCTGGTCCAAACCTTCTCTTCCAAGTTCCTTTCCAAGTACAACTTTGGGTTTTTTTGTTTGTTCGTTTGTTTGTTTTCCAAGTGCAACTTTGAATCAGGAATTGTTTAACAGTCTCTTTTGAACAACAGTCTGTTTCAAATGAATTTTCTGTCACTTGGATGGAAACGATACTGTATCCCATCCTTGTGCACCTCTCCAAAATGGTACCTGGGTACACATGAATGTGGGAGAAGGGCCAGGGATCCACTGGAGGTCCCCGGATCCATGCTGACTCCTGCAGTAAAGAGTCAATCTGGTTTGGTCTGGCCGTGAACAAGTGACCACTATAGGGTGACTGGTCCCATCTGATCTTTGGGCCACTACTGAAGTCTCTGTGTCCAGTCATTTGCCTGTGACAGTGAAGGCCATGCGCCTTGCAGCCCTTCTGTCCTCACCCCAGACCTTTGCTGACCCACTTTGCTGACTATCAGGCTCCCCTATTGTGGTTTCACCCTGAAAATGAATTAAACAAAACATATGCCTCTTAAGTCCCTTGCCTCTCTCTGCCCCTCTTCGTCCCTCATTCTGTGGGGGCGGGAGGAAAGGACATCCTGGACCTCCCTGGTTATAGGCCCTTCTGCCCAGGAGTCTTAGTGGAATCTCTGTGCACCATGGAAGAACCTCTATGATCTGGCCCACCGTTTTCTAAACTGAGACTGTTCACTAAGTATTCCCAGCCCTCTGCCTTCCAGGAGCACACTTCCTGCCCTCTGTGCTGAGTAGGCCATGTGACTATTCTGGCAGCAGCAAGACCAAACATGTGTCACTTCCCCTCACAACTCAGAACCACCCACCAACCCATAATGGATGTCAAGTGTGAGTGAGAAACCTTTGTTACAAGCCACTAAGTCATTGGGATTGTTATTATAGCATAGCCTAGATGATCCTGACTGATACACTTATATAGCTCCTAAAAGAAGCTTTTAAAAACGGTGTGTACCCTCTTGCACACTTTTAAGATGACATCTAAAAATTTCACTAAACATTTAAATGGCTGCAAGGGATATAATTTCCATTTATTGTAAATACTAATATTTTAAATAAAAACTGTTACATCAGCCTTCTAAAATATCCAATGGAATCTAAATATTGAAACACTTTCTTACCCACTATCATCAGTTGTTTAAATCCATGAACAAGCTCTTCTTCAACATTTGGAAATTTTACATTTTTTCCTTCTTCTCCTTGAATTCATGTTTCCATTCCACATCCTCTGTATATCTTCACCATAAGGCAATATATTTTTAGGCTTTAAAGTCTTTTATCCACCACCTTATCAAACTTAGCTATAACAAAAAAGGCATGTAAATTGAAATTTTGAAGTTTACTTTACTCCCTGTCAACCATAAATCCTAAGTGTTAAACATATCTTCTGAATTGAATTATTATTACAAATAGAATTAATACAAAATTGACCAAAACAATATAAATATAAGTTTTGATGAATAATTCTTAAACATAGAAAGCATCTTTTAGCAGGGAGGGGCAAGATAGATGGAGGGGATTAAGAGGTACAAACTATGTGTAAAATAAATAAGCTACAAGGACATATGGTACAGCACAGGGAATATAGCCAATATTTTATAATAAATGGAGTATAATCTTTTTTTTGGAGTATAATCTTTAAAATTTTTGAATCACTATGTTGTACACCTGAAACTTATATAATATTGTAAATCAACTATACCTCTATTAAAAAAAAAAGAAAGCATCTTTTGTTGATGTATATACAGTCATCCCTCAGTATCTGTGGGAAATTGGTTCTAGGATGCCCACAGATACCAAAACCTGAGAGTGCTCAAGTCCCTTATATGAAATGTATTTGCATACAACCTACGCACACCCTCTATCCTCCCTCCCATATACTTTAAATCATCTCTAGATTACTTATATTACCTAATACAATGTAAAGGCTATGTAAATAGTTGCCAATGCAGCAAATTCAAGTTTTGCTTTCTGGAACTTTCTGGAATTTTTTTTACCCTGAATATTTTTGATCAGTAGCTGGGTGAATCTACAGATGTGCAACCCTCGAATACAAAGGGCTGACTACACTGCAAAAAACTAATTGACCTAGTGCTAAAATTCTTTCTTATAATAGAAATAGAAAATACCAAACATTTTATAAGATGAAGACTGTAATAAGGCTATTCTATATGATTTGATAAAACAGGTTGACTCCATTTTTTAATAACACAAAGAATCTGAAAGAAATATCATAGAAATATCATCCATGAGTTTCAGCCAATATGTCCTGAAAATGTTGGTATTCCCGGAGAACATGAGCATGGCTCAGCATCACTGCCCCCTGCTGTGCCCGCTGTTCACAGGCTTGTCCACCAGCTGAGGACGCTTCTAAGGATGAGCACTGAGAACACAGGAGCTGCTTCCCAGGGAGGCGTAATTCCTACTGTGCTCTCTTTGCTTCGCTCCTGGGGGATTCCTTCAAGTGCAAAGCATTTTTAGGCAAAAGGAGAGGTGGATAAGAGATGGAGAGATCTTAAATGTTCTCATCATAAGAAAAAAGAAATTGTAACTATGTATGGTGACAGATGTTAACTAGACTTGTGGTGATCATTTTGTAATATATATAAATATTGAAATGTTGACACCTGAAACTAATATAATGTTATGTCAATCATATTTCAATTAAAAAAAAGAGAGAGAGGGGCTTCCCTGGTGGCGCAGTGGTTAAGAATTCGCCTGCCAATGCAGGGGACACGGCTTGAAGCCCTGGTCCAGGAAGATCCCACATGCCACGGAGCAACTAAGCCTGTGCACCACAACTACTGAGCCTGCGCTCTGGAGCCCACGAGCCACAACTACTGAAGCCCGTGTGCCACAACTACTGAAGCCTGTGCACCTAGATCCTGTGTTCCGCAATGAGAAGCCACCGCAATGAGAAGCCCTCATACCGCAACGAAGAGAAGCCCCCACTCGCGGCAACTAGAGAAAGCCTGCTCACAGCAACGGAAGACCCAATGCAGCCAATAAATAAATTAATTAATTAATTAAATCTATTTAAAAAAGAGAGAGAGAGAGAGGTGGAAAAAGCAAAGAGATTAAAAATCGCCACAACTCCCTGAACCCCAAGCTCGCATACATCTTTCTCCAGAACTTCCCAATATGACCAAAATTCCTTACTTTATATTTAAGAGAGGTATGTGTAAGAGAAGAAGCCCTGCAGAACCCTTGAGTAATCATCAGAGGAGCAACCCCACAGAGGGAGATCTGGGGTGGGTGTCACATGTGAGAGGAGTAGTCACCTCAGAGGCTTTTACAGGCAGATCAACTTTAGGAAAGAAGTCATATGGAAGCTGAGATTCTGAATACTGACTCCCTTGAAACTATCTATGTACCTGGGATACAATTTAGGTACATAAAATATGATGTGATTGGAACATTTTCTGGCACTACCCAAATTTTCAAGATACAATGACTAAAAACTCATGGATATATCTTTTACAAGAGTTTTTTCAGATTCCACGTATTAGTTGAAGTAGTGAAAACTATTTTCTGGTTTCCCTGCCCACACTCCCTCCTGGAAAGACTCTGTGCACCCCAGGAGTTTTGTGCACCTTGTTTGAAGACCTCTGAACTTGTCGACCTGGCCTGGGAACTAAAGAAATTTACAAAATCCTTTTTCCTTTCTACCTGCTGGCTCTCAGCTCCGGGCTGGACTTAAAGCTTTGCATTCCAGCAGCAGGACCAAGGCAAAAAATGTCTTTGGCAGTTCATATTCAAGGGAATGCAAGAGAAAAAAAATCACAATGATACAATTCAAAACTCTTGTCCCCATTACACCTGTAAAGTGCTTCCTGCAGTGAGTGACAAGTAGAAAGTAGTAAATAAAGGACAGCGTCAAGCAGACACATCTCACATGCATGCACCTCAGTCCAAGCCTGGCTCTAGGTTCAAATGCTATTGCAGGCATTTAGGAACTTGGTGCAGAGTTGCTGCTGCTGAGCTAACAAAATAAGGCTCATAAGGAAAGCCTTTCTCCCCAGATATGAACTGTGTACCTACCACATGCCAGCCCCAATGCCTGTTCTGTCGTCTAACTGCTCAAGGACATCACTGTGGCTTCAGGCTCTATGACATAAAGGTGGAAGGTCCATGGTGGGTGGGCTGGGAGGCTGCCAGCCATCCTGGGTGGTTGCTCAAGTCTTCCTTCCCAGGTGGGAAGCTGAAATCTAAAGAAAAGGCAGAGAAAGGTTCAGAGAAGAGGAAGACCTCCCTTCTGCCCAATCCAGTTAGAAGTCCCTGGAGAGCGGGCCACCTCTTTGCTAACCCCCAGCATCCAGCAGGTGAAGGAACTCAAGATCTGGAGTCAGGCAGACCTGGGTACCCACATGGCCCTGCCTTGCCCATCATCATGACCAGGCCAGTCACTGACCGCTCTGCCGTGGAGGTCTGCACTGGCACATGGGGATTAGACACACCTTGTCTGATTATCACAGCCATTGACCCAATGATTAAGCAGGACACCCAACAAAGAGCTGCCACCTGGCTCATCCTGGCTGCTCCAGATTTGTGGCCCCCATGCCCTCTCACCTTGGTTTTATAACCCAACTCATGTTGAGACAGCCTCTTCCCATATCTGATTTCATCCTCACCACCATCTGGAGAGCTACTTTTCCATTATCTCCACAGGATGAAGGTGGGACTCTCCCAGGTTAAGACATCTGTCTGTAAACTATTAAGAGGCAACTCTACCCCTCTAACCTCATTCTGTCCCACTGTGGAAACTGTCCTTTCCATTGGCCCATAACTGAATCGTGAGAAAGACAAAGACTTTATGAGTACAGATATTTTCTCCCACAAAATCTGGGGGAAGGAGGAGGATCCGAGTTTTGGTGTTAGTAAAACTGTAACTTGTAATAAATAACACAAGAACTGTATGAGGGGGTGGGGGAGGCAGGCGCTCAGCAAACATCATCCTGCAGGAGGCGCTGTCCACTCAGGGACATGCAACCGCCTTGCGGCCGGCGGTGGGGGGCTGGCGGTGAGGGTGGGGTATGCGTTGTTTTCACAGCCTGAGGCAACCCAAGTGCTGCGTTATTTGGTGTGTATCTACTTATTAAAATGTTTGCTTTGCTATAAACAGTCCCAGAGAGCTCAAGCAAATAACACTCCTTTAAAATCACAAGATAATACATGTATCCTGCACACACACAGAACCCTTTCAGAAATACACCCCAAATCACTCCTTCAACAAGCCTCCCAAGCAAAGGTGAGAGTTTCTGGTCACTTCTTTTTAGCCTTAGAAAATGTCCTGTTATTGGCTTCAAAGTTGCTTAAGTGTGTGGTGGTTGGTTATGTTATTCATTTGATACATAATTGGGTGTAATTTTTATTCGTATTGTTTCAGGTTTGTTTTTTTAAAATCTTTTTCAGTTTAACTTTACTTTTTGAATATCTAAAACATTTTCATGATTCAGAAGTTAAAACTATATAAAAATGTTAGGGGAGCCACTGACCCAAACTACCTGCCCTGGCCAGGCCCGATGGTAACCAACTGCATGAGTTATCTTACAACAGGAGGTCCTGGTAAGGAACCCAAAACTAACAAGTTACCACCAACTGGAAGAATTCAGGAAAGGTCAAAAGGAGAGAGGAGACACCAGTCCATATGTCCTACTAAACCCCCAGAATCCTTCTCGCTGGAATCCATCTTGGCTGAGCTATGCGCACACCACCAGGAAGGACCCTGAGTCAGAATGATTGGCCAGAGAGAACCTGTAAACTAACCCCATTACCATAAAACCCAGACTGTGAGCAATGTGGCAGAGCAGTTCTCCTGGGTTCCCTTATACCCTGCTGCTCTGTATCCTGGCGACCCTTTCCAATAAAGTCTCTTGCTTTGTGAGCACGTGTGTCTCCTCAGACAATTCATTTCCAAGTGTTAGACAAGAGCCACTCTAGGCCCCTTCCTGCAACAAATGGCGATGCTGGTGGGACCTCTTCTTTGTTATGAGTCACATCCTGTCTTGTGAAATGGGAAATTCTGGTTCTGTTCCACTGTGAATCCCTCTTGGGCAAATTCTGACTAACTGGAAACATTTTAGCTATGAGCCGGCGACTAAGAAAGAGATGATATTTTATTATAACATTGTGTGGCCACCATATTGTTTAGACTCCAGAGAAAATTGGTGTAGGTAAAACTCTTCAAAATTCCAAAACTGGTTCTTCTTGCATATACAGTTACAAAAGGCAAGCTTGATAAAACGTCTTTTCAGAATTCCGACCCTGAGGGAATAAGTCCTTCTAGGAGAACTTGCTTTTCTCGCTCCCTGCCTTGAGACCAGGGCTCTCAGGATCACTTATCTTATCTAGACCATCTTTAATTTCTGAGACTGAGGAAAAAAAAAAAATGGTAAGAAGCCTTTTTAAATATTGCCTATTTCAACTATTATTTATAAGCTAGTGAGTTTTATATTTTAATACCTGATTCATGACTAAGTTTAGAAAATGAAGCTATGAGATCTCTGGTATTTGTCTATATGTCTGTGTGCATTGTATATATGTCCTTTGGACGGTATTATCAAAATTAATTCAATGAGCTCTACTTAATTGGCTTAAAGGAAGTTAAGTGCTTATACAAATTCTCAAAAATATAGAAGTTAACTGGCCAGAATTAATTTCAGGTTCACATGAACTGGGAAATATTCTGTATTAAATTAATATCTGGTATTAAACTTATAAAGTTTGTTAATTTAATTAATATAGACACATCTTTAGGGTCATCAGCATTAAGTATAATACCTTTATTGTAACTAGGTTTAATAGAAGTCAAATAAAACCTTATTATATCTGTTACAAATCTGTCAACAAGAAAAGTTAACTCAAGAAAAAACTTTTGAGGAAAGTAAATGTAAATGAGATAAGAACTTTTAGGTAAACTCTATGGGAATAATTATGTTTTTGGAATGCCTACTTGACAATGATCTCTCCAGATATTTGGTAACATAAAATTTTAGAGTAACATTAAATTAAGTTAAATGATGAAAGTTTGTTGAATAACTGGGTCATTCCGAAGTAAAATAAGATACTGAGACATCAATTACTAAACAGAAAAACTAAAGGCATTTAGGACTACTAATTAATATGTTTGGTGCCACCCTGAAATGTTTTCTGTAAGAAAGCAAATGTTTCTAGAAATTATCACTGGTATTTATGTTCACCAATCTACGGAATGCTAATGTAAAAAACAGTACATAATTGCTTACTACTTAGTTTTCACTAGAAATGACGGTTTTTAAGAGTTGAAGACTCTAAACAGGTAATTAAAGCTAATAAAAATAATAAAGGAAACATTTCAGTATACAGTAGGGAAGTAGGATGTGTGTTTTCAGTGAAGAAGGTATGAGGGATGGAATTGCATTTTAATAAGGGAAAAGAAAGTGAGTCTGCCATAGAACTGGTTGTTTCTGGATGGAGACGAGAATGGGGGACAGATTAATATGGATACAGAAAGGGATGGAGGGTTTGTGGATGGTCAGGATTGGCTAGGTTTAGATTGAAGTTAACTGAATAAATGAATTTTAAAAGTAAGCTGGTACAAAACTTGAATATGGCTTTTTTTTTTTTTTTGCCGTGCGCGGGCCTCTCACTGTTGTGGCGTCTCCCGTTGCGTTGCACAGGCTCCGGGCGCGCAGGCTCAGCGGCCATGGCTCACGGGCCCAGCCGCTCCGCGGCATGTGGGATCTTCCCGGACCGGGGCACGAACCCGTGTTCCCTGGTGGCGCAGTGGTTGAGAGTCCGCCTGCTAATGCGGCGGGCCCCGGTCCGGGAAGCTCCCACATGCCGCGGAGCGGCTGGGCCCGTGAGCCATGGCCGCTGAGCCTGCGCGCCCGGAGCCTGTGCAACGCAACGGGAGACGCCACAACAGTGAGAGGCCCGCGCACGGCAAAAAAAAAAAAAAAAATACTGTATGGATAAATGTTATTAATATACGTATTCTAGAAATTACATGGAATTCTTAAAAATATAGTATGTACTAGTAAAATGTTATCAGTCAAAATTCTAGCTATTTTAAAATGTTGCATGTCACAGCAGTAAGTTTCTTTTGTCAATTACATTGTGATCAGATGTTTAATAACCATGACTTTTTAAGTCTTTCTGTCATTTATAGACAGTTATTGTTGTACTTTGATAAATCTCAGATTGTACTGGGGAACTGGGTAAGATTTGTTTTTTTAATATTTTTTTTATTTATTTATTTTTGGCTGCATTGGGTCTCTGCTGCTGCTCATGGGCTTTCCCTAGTTGCTGCGAGCGGGGGCTACTCTTCCTTGCCATGCGCGGGCTTCTCATTGCGGTGGCATCTCTTGTTGTGGAGCACAGGCTCTAGGCACGTGGGCTTCAGTGGTTGTGGCTCGCGGGCTCTAGAGCACAGGCTCAGTAGTTGTGGCGCACAGGCTTAGTTGCTCCACGGCATGTGGGATCCTCCCGGACCAGGGCTCGAACCTGTGTACCCTGCATTGGCAGGCAGATTCCCAACCACTGTGCCACCAGGGAAGCCCTGGGTAAGTTTTAAAGAATCCTAAGGAAAAACCTGATGGCTTCATAAAACTATTAACGAAAGGATTAGTTACATAGGACTGAGTGAACTGGTGAATACTGATATAATTTTTATGGTTTCCATCTGAAAAATTACTGGTTTAAATCTGTGTTTTCCAGCTGTAAGAAAAACCCTTCCCTTCAAACTAATTATGACTTACAGTAATTTGGTAAATTATACCTTTGTAAGCAGAATTGAAATATTTATCTTTGCTCTCTATCTGTACCCTCCAGAAACTGGAAACTTTTAGGTTCCCAGCAGCTTTATCAGATAAATTAGGAAGGCCACCTCCTAACAGGTGTAAGAATCTTGATATTTTGGGGACCTCTGAAAGCGAGAAATTCACCAAGGCAAAATTTGATGACGCACTCTCGGCATGGATTTCCTGGCCCAGAGAGGCCTTTTGGGGAATTCAGTCTGAGACTCCTGAGAAATTACACCAGAGTCAGTGTGGAAGAGCCTATGTGGTTGATGGACCAGATTTACTTTAGAAACAAATTAATCTTAATTTGGCTATATTTGACAAAAATGAGGGTAATTTTAGAGAGAGAGAGAGATTTCAATGGATATCAAATTCTAATTCTGTTTATTGAGGTCTATATTCACTAAGACTCACTTCTCAGATAATTC